CAATCAAACAAACTATCTCAGCATTTTAGCACATGGAAAAAAGGAATGGAAAATTAAAAAAAAAAAAAAAGAAAAAAAGAAAGTGTGCACCTTTATTTTCCACTTTCTGCATTTTCTATTTTCATCCTTCACAATCCTTCCACCATTACAGCCTCAAAGTTTAACATTGTACTGATAAATGGGGTCAATAAAACAAAAATGCTGCACGAGATCTACTATTTTGATGTTTGTTAGCAAAACTTTCTGATTTTTGTTACTATTTAACTTCTGAAAATAAATAAAACACTAACCCATAATGATATTACTGACACCACATTTTTGCATTTTTCTTTAAGCTGACTTGGAGATGTAACAAGTAAAGGTTACCTTGGGCTATAGGCAAGTCAGACAAAGACCTCCAGACCTTGATTATTAACAAATGAGTGCTGTTTGTTTTCTATTCTACACATTTTTGCTTATAAAAAGTGAGCTTATACTCTTATATAGAATCATTTTGATTTCTTCAGTATCTCTAACCTCAGTCCCATTATTTTATACCTAGATACCTAGATTATTTGTCAACTAAACACTGCACTTTATGCCCTCCATATTTATGTTTTACTTGGGAATTAAACCCTTTATTTGAAGCATCATACTTGATACAAGTATTCCTTAAGAAAGATTTTCACTGACTATTCAACTTCTATTCATTTCAAATCAAGCCTAGAGGGCTCAACACAATGTAAGTGCCATGCTTAAAATGCTTAGTAAAGTCAGCATTTGTGTTTCTGAGAATTGACTTTGGCCAAATGAGTTAAATTTGTAAGGATAGGACAAAATTGTAAGGATAGGATTATGCTTTCTTGAATGTTTTTCATCTTCATTTCTGTTTTATTCACTTTCATTTTTTTACTTTTCTTTTGGAAATATCCTGTATAATTAGCAGACAAAACTAATATGTGTACAGCTGTAGAATCCATTAGGGTCACTAGAAGTATCTAAAATTAATGCTACTATTAATTCTGAAGGCAGATTCTCTTTTGTTATCTTTTCCCACAGGAACACTGAGGATGCATCAGAAATCAGCCAAGTTTTTTCTATCAGGATTTCTGTTGCAGCCGTGAGCCTTTAGGAGGTGTATAGATAGTGCTCTTATTTCTATAGTGACTCCTCTGACACACTGCATGCAATTTCCACGTGCTCTTTGGGCTTCTTCAGGAGGCCCAAACACTCTTAAAGCAGATTGTGGTGATTTTTAGTTTTTGTTTGTTCATTTGTTTTTTTAAACAAACAAACAAAAAAAATGAAACCCTGACTCCAAATGCTCTTGATCTCAAGGAAGACTTCAGAGCTGGAGATGTGAAATATAAATATAAGAAGTGTCTTCTGTAAGAAATAAGGCATGTGAACGTGTCAAGATTAAAAAGATCAGAGAGTTTCAAAGAAGCGGGAACTGTTTACTTTATATTTGTTTTATTCCTAGATTGTTAGAGCTCATCTCGGATGGTGTTACAAGTATCAAGTAAATACAAGGCCATCACTACTAGATTTTAGAAAAAGCAATGCCTTTCATGAATAGTATGCTTGGTCATGCTTATTACTGCTATTTTAAAAACAAATCAAAAAAATATTTTAATTAACATTTTTTAAGCCAATGTTTTTCTCTTCTGCCAACATTTTAACAACTATTTTGTGTTCAGTTTCAGGGAAACGTACATATTTATAATTGCACCATATGTACAAATATAGTATGCATGTTGTTTACCTGCTTTAATGGATGTATTGAAATCAGCTGGCACCCACGCATATGCAGTGCAAGTCTAGCTTTGTTTTCCACTATACTTCTCTAGAGTTAGCACAGGAGACTGAATTTTTTTAGTAATACAAGCTCAAAGATAGAACAGTAGTTTGTTATTATCTAGCTGCTACTGACAACTGAATTATTACTATTGCAGTTGGGGGAAGGGTGTTTATATGTTTTCTATTTAAAAAGTTACAAATTTTTTATAGATGTGATCATTACTGGATGATTACTCTAGACCAGTAGTTTATACTCTAAACTGCTTGGGAACTCTTACTTCTGAATTAGATATCTGAATTGTATTATTTTCGATCAAGGTAACACAGCAGTTTCGCTGTTCCCTGATTTATTAAAGATTAATCCAAAAAATAGGAAGCATTATTCATGATATTCTTCACTGATGCGTCTAAGAACTACCACATACATTAGTAGCAGGATTTGTCACCACCATGCTGGTCTCATTTCTCAGGGAGAGTGTGAAGAATGCAGGATGAAGCCCTAAGAGGACAGGCTTTAATTCAGTAAAGCATTTAATTGTTTCTATTTACACCTGTCATTAAGTACAGTTTTACTCATGCAAACTATAAATTGAAGTCTTTGAAGAAAAACTCTCAGTAAATACTAAAGCAAGAGTTTTAATATTCAAAACTAGTGTCTCTGAAAACAAAAAGTACTTCATTGACATATACCATAAAAGTAACAGAAAGGGGGAGGAAGTACATCTCAAAGAGACCTCTTGTGCAGCCTCCTTTCTACATCCCTGACAAATGGTTGTCTACAACCACACGCATGTCTCACCAACATCACCACCCGTTATAGGATTGACTCCTACTATGAGCTCCAGAACCATCACAAGGCCAATAGTAGTTATCCTGTTATTCCTCTCCCTTCTAGAAGACTGCACACAGCCACATAACCCTTCCCAACCACATGAAGCTCACATGATATGAACTATTTTGGCACAAATTTTACCGTGAGTTAAAAGTACTGGTACGAACTGGCCAGAAGTTCTCCAAGCAAACGTTTGCCAAAAGTAAAGAAAAACAAGTAAATAGCCCTAGCAAAAATCTGATGATAAAATTAAGCAGGAAGCCCGAGCTGCTGCGTAACTCTCTAGAATGACTACCACTACAAAAGCTGTGCAGGTGACTGAAACATCCACAAGAGCCTTGGTATCATCAGCATGAAAACTAGTGGAAAAGAACTGATAAAAGCTAAAGTATTTCTAGAAAGCAAGTTGGATAGTATTCACAACAGAGTGAAAAGTTTGAGGTTATAATGCATCTAATTCCAAAAGATAGTGCAGTGTTTTGAAAAGAAAACACAAAAACAACAGATCATTAATACCACCTACAGATGGAGGAATCGAGTTACAGAGGTGAGATGAGTTGTACCTGCAGTCATTTAGCAAGTGGGTCTGGAAGCCAAATGTAATCTAGGTGTTCATTTCCTAAACATCCAAGAGAGTTTTTTCAAGTTCCTATTTGTTCTTTCATTAACTTGGGTTCCCTTTTCAATATCAAGGATTTAGTCCTAATTCTGTGCCAGTTTCTAGTCAATGAAATATCCAAGTGCCAATGGTACAGTAAGGACTGTAAAACACCTTTAGTTTTAGTATTGCTGTCAATCACTATCACAACTGAGAAACCTCTGTTAAATTACATGAAATTGCACACAGATGAAGGGCATTTAGAATGTGTTGGTTTTTTTTTTTGTTGTTGTTGTTGTTGTTGTTTTGTTTGTTTGTTTTTTTTCCACCACAACAACTTACATTAAACGACATTTTCCTTCATATCAAATACATTTATTTCATGGTGCAAAAATAAAATGTAATGATCAATCAATCATAAAAAATCTAGTTAAGATCAGAAATCACAACTGTGATACTTGCACTGTAATGGAAACAGCACAAAAGGAAAAGCTACAGTTAAACTTGACCAGTATTAGGTTTTCACTATACCCAAAAATAAAAGTATGAAGCATAAACAGTTGTGTTGTGGTATTTTTAATACAAAAGTAAAGAACAGTTGTCATGGAGACATGAGGTGCTTTGGGACTTGAGCAAACAATTAGCTTATAGGATGGCTTTCAAACACTTCAATTTGAGCCTTTTGGAGCAATGCAGTGATCTGCTGAAATAATTATTTTTGCTCTCTATTTTTTCCATGTAGTCCCTTTTACTGTGTGTTCAAAAGTAATGAATGTTTTTTCATTCTGATATTTTAAATTGAATTTACAGAAGAGAAATCTTCGGCTTTGTTTTTTTTTTTTGTTTGTTTTTTAAACACTGGATTAGAAAAATACAGCTAGTTAGCACAAATCTCTTTTCTTCTTCAAACCTTTCTTATTTTGCAACTGTGCAAATTGATTTTCTTTTATGTAGACTGCTTCTAGCAAAAAAAAAAAAAAAAAAAAAAGCATTTGTAGATGCAGATATTACCTGAAAAATTGCTGCTTACTAATTTTTAGTAATCACAACCCTTGCTCAAAAGAATGCTACATAGGGCAACAAAAAACATGACACCTGTTGTAAGTGTCTGTAAATTCCATGTGCTAAACAGTATTCCTTGGAAGTGTTTGCAACTACCACATTTATAGAACTAAGTAACTTTGTTTTTTGCTTTTGTTTTGTAAAATAATGATTTCTTAAATGATCTCAAGATTACAACCTCAATGATCCTGTAATTCTAACACATGCACTGTAAACTAGATTTCTTGCACCATGCCATCTGGACCCAAATTCAGTAAGTACACTAGCACATACATATAAAAGGAGATAAATAGCAGAAAGCAAGTTTAAAACAGAACTCACTGACAAGCCACATTGAGATAGTAACACTGAAAGCTAGGAGTATGCTTTCCTCAGATTTTCTGAGGCTTATATGTCTTCCTGTGAGCACATTTACTCACCTCGTAACATTTTCTACAACTTTTGACATTCAAATGTAATATTTAAGTTTTGATTACCTACTAGAGTAAGAAAAAAAAAATGTAATACTGACTTCAAGGTGTTTAACACAAATTTATGAAAGCCACAAAATATAAAGCATTGTCTTCGACAGTCATTTGAGTTCCATTCCTCATAACATTTCTTTATACAAACAAATATGCTTGGTTAGATTTCTTTTGCCCCTATGTAATAACAGCATGTATAGAGTAGTATATGACATTCTTTCCAAAGTTCTATAAAGTGTAAAATTATTTTAGAATGTATTCCTACCTTTTTTCCACTTTCACACACAGAGGAGACAATTAGGTAATTTAGACAGCGGCCTGAAAAAAAAAATAATAACTTTAAAACCCTGATTAATTAAATTGTCTGTTAAAAAAAAAAAAGTGAAAGTTAAGTGCAAGTGTCACATATAACAGATAAAGTATTAACAGGCATAGTATTAACAGGTATTGTGAAAGCAACATTAAACTCAACTTAAAGATGGGATATATTAACAAAAGTCAAACCAGACAAGTATAAACAGCAGTGGTGCTTCTGGGTTGAGAGACCGATGAACTTAAGCATAGAATCATAGACAGGTTTTGATTGGAAGGGACCTTACAGGCCATCGAGTTCCAATCCCCTGCCATGGGCAGGGACACCTCCCATCAGGCCAGGTTCCCCAGGCCCCCATCCATCCTGGCCTTGACCACCTCCATGGCTGGGGCACCCACAGCTTCTCTGGGCAACCTGTTCCAGTGCCTCATCACACTATAAGTAAAGAATTTCCTCCTATCATCTAATCTAAATCTCCCCTCTTTTAGTTTAAAACCATTCCCCCTTGTCCTATCACTCGTCTGTATAAAAAGTTACTACTTTTTTTTTTTTTTACCCTTCCACAGAAGATGCCTGCAAACCTAGCACTTGCTAAGTGGTCAGCATCAAATAACAGTTGTTCATATCCACACCAGGATCATGGCAAGATCATGTTGTCCCACAAATGTTCTTGGTAGTGAAAAGTAAGGCATCCTAAAGGAGCCACATAAATGGATTTGCATTAAGATACATAGTGCTTTTATTTAATCTTTCAGTGAAGAAACAGTACTTCTTGCCTACTGTTTCAAGTCAGCTCTCATTAAGAAAAAGTAATCAAGGATTTGTGCAGAAGTGTGCCTTTCCAGCAGATAAGCACTCTGGCCCTGACAGGACAAGTACCCCCTGCTCATGACCACACAGACCACAGCTCAGTTCTGTAGTCTCCAGGATATCTCCACACCTTACCTTCATTAAGGGGTGCATAAAAGTAATTCTGATTTTAAACCTACCTCTCTGTGCTGAGGTGTGCATCTAATGACACGTTATTATTAGCCAGGTCTTGTGGAAAGAATGTGTGCTTCCAAACAGAAACCTCAAGAGATTAATCACTCAGGCTAAAAGCTGTTATGTGCTTTAACACCTCAGATGAAGTAAGCTATTCCTGACTGTTAGATCTACCTAAACTCTTTGTATTTCTAATCATTTACACCTTCAGTCGATTATCTGAACCTAAAAAGCCTTCCTTTCTCAAAGGAAGCCAGTTAGCTTCGATACATCTTCTCACATCATTCAATATAGATAAATAATAAGAAAAACTACAACTCCTGGTAGCTTTTTAATGTAATGGCAATTCCCCTTCTTTTCTTTAAGGCAACCTGGTATGTCATACTGCAAATTAATACTCTAGCTTGAATATGCAAAGAACAAGTCTCCAAAGAATTATGATTAGGAGAAATAAAGATAAACTTCCATTTGTGCATTGGAATAATGCCCCATTACAGAATGTTTTGACATCATATATAGAAAAATCATCATTTGGTTTACAATTAACTTTGAAGTGCAAATATAACCTCAGAAGGCCATTAGTAATGACACTACAGAGTTGTGTCACTACAAAGACTGCAATTTAGAAATGGTGTGCGTATTAGCAGAAACTGAGGGAAGTTTCAGACAGTTAGTCGAATAGAGCGAGAACAGCTCGGGACTCCAGAAAAACAGATGATTATGAAAAATTCCATTAAAAGTATATTACATTATACCATGAGTGCTATTAGTTTCTTCCCCATCCACATCACACACACATGCAGGACGTCAGAGACAGCAGTGTATTCAGTTAAACATCAGCAATAACTGCCACTTCCCCTGCAGAGGAGTTTTCAGCCGTGTTTCTGTTTTACCACCCAGTGATGTAACCTGCCTTCAGGGAAGCTTTGCTTTACTGAGGCTGTAAAAGGAAAGATTGCACGGATGATGGCTGGATTTGCTGACTGTGCTACATTTGCCTTAGACACCTCTCTATAATTTCTTCTAGTAAAATATATGTATGTATAGCAATGTAGTAAGAACCTACTAAATATTTTACTTGGAGACAACAACCCAACCAAAACTCTTGTTGGAGACAACAACCCAATCAAAACCACCTCCATCAATGAAAACCAAGTCCTGAGATGCCAAAACTATAAACCAGTATATTTGTCACCACCAATGGAAAAACATTGCTTGAAGTATTATTTGCAGAAGTGAAATGTGAAATGCTGGAACAGAACTGCGACTAATACTGTCACTGCAGTTTCGATAGCCTCTTTAATGCAACTGTCATATTCATTTTGGGACATGTGTCAGTTTTAGAAAAATATCAAACATTTTAAATTACATTTTCATCTGTTGGCAGAAGGACAGGAGAGGTGGTTTTCTCAATAGTCTATTAAGCTCATTACATGTCTTTTCCCCACAATGGAAAAGCAATTGTAGGATGATGTAACAAAGATTTCCTGAAAACACTGGTATGGTTTGGTAGTGAAACTTAGTGAGGTTGAAACCAGAAAGATAAGATTTTTCTTCTGTTCATCATTAATCTCTTACACCCACAGCCATTCAACCATGAAAACACACTAACAGATGAAAACATGTTAAATTAATCTATATTAAGTTCATACTACATTTATTGTGTAGCTTTTAGAAAAATCAAAGGTAGGCAAACAAGGGAAAAGAGAAAATGTAGTGGGAAAACACTAAATCTTAATAATGTCGGACTGAGTCAGAAGCGTAATTCTTATGGGCAATCCAGTCACACAGCATGCTATAAAAAAACAGGTCTTCATCTTTCCTATTAACATTTTCCCTCAGAACTTGCTTCACAGCTCAAGAAACATTCTGCAACTCTAACAGTTGATTTATGCATGATAACTTGACTGCATCTGAGACAGATTATTTGCTACACTTAGACCAAAGAATACTTGGAGTAAGGTCTGGAAAGTGACCACCCACATAAGTTCTTTAAAAAAAATAAATAAATAAATAAAATGCATTAACTGATATAGTAAAGAAAACAATTACAATTCTTTTATACCATTTTACACCAATTGACTGTTGTCTGAACATTTTTCATAAAATGCAGAACATGTGTCTGATAGTCCTAGAATGTGAATGAATACAAATCTGACTTCAGATTTTCTTAAAGTTTTATCCAATAAGTTACTACATTTAATCATCAGTGATACCGGCAATAATGAAGAATGTCAGATAATTTAAAAATTCATTTCCATTATTCACATCTTATTTTCATGTGTCTTATTAAAACATTAATCCCAAATTTACAGCTGGGAAGTTTTGAACAAAAAAGTCAATTTGTGAACCAAAGCAGAAAATGTGGAAAGGGAACTAAGAAAGCAAATATTAAATGAAATTAATTGCAAAAAAAAATGACATTGATAGAATGATCTGAAATAAGAAACAAAGCTGTTAATTCTAGTAGTAACTCAGGTTTGAGAACAGCCTAGATTTTATGATACAGTAACAATTACAAAAAAATAGTAGTCCTTTTTTGTCTGTGATCGTGTATTACCTATAAAACTTATTCTTTATGAACTGTCAATACACACAGCACATCTTTTGATACTCATTTGATAGCATCATATCTACATTTACAAATAAAATCTAAAACTTAAGGATAACAAGGAATCACAGGATACAGGAAAACCTGCTTTACGTACAAGTGTATGTCTGTGCAAACCATTTTTATCAAATAATATAGTTGGGAGACAGAAATTCAGGTTCTTCTACAGATGGGCTAATAATTATTAATCTTGACAAACTTGTCTTTCCTGAGCGAGATATCATACAACGAATGAAGCCCACACCCCTCAGGTCCCTTTCTTTTCTGCAGTACTACAGATGCACAATTTGTTCTTTTACTGTAAAATTTCATCACAGAATCTCAGCATAAAGTGCTAACAGCAGTGTGAACAAAATGCAAAGCAAAGCAGGAAGACTTTCAAGAGTCTATAAATGATCTGAAATAAAAAGGTGTGAAAGATGCACCCTGTCCACTTCAATAGTCCTTAATGCAGAAAACTACAATGGAAGAGAACTACCGAGAGCTTCCTCTTAGCTGCCTGTGCAGAAACTATCAGATATAATTTCTTCACCTGATTTCTGAAAACAAACTCAAAATACTGATCACCTACTGTGGGGATCATTAAAAATTTACTAAGATGAATGCAGGTCTTATAACATTGTGCTACTTCCAACCTAATGAGTTTGGTGGTTAACAGCTACACACAAAAGGAAAGGTGTCCACTATCAAACAACAACAGCCATACAGAGAACTTCCTTTACACAGAAAGGTCTATAGGGTATTATCATATCACAATTGTCCTAACCATGACAAAGCAGCTCTACTATGATTCTAACATGCCAGGACTACTCGGACAAGAAAAAGCTGCCAGCATACATTACCACAAGTATCTGATGGCAGCATTGTCATTGGCTTGAGTTTCATTTGATAAAATTACAAAATTATTTCCAAAACTGTTCTATTAGCTTCCTAAAACAGAAGATACTAACAAAACAAAACAAAAAAATCAAAATCTGCATAAATCAAATAAATTGTCTGTATGAGCTACAAAAAGTTTCAAATAAAAATGTGATGAGAAATAAGGGATGAGAACAAATAGTAGTCCCGTTATTGAAACAAGCCCAGAAGACAAATCATTGTGACTCAGAATCCAACAGTATCTCCAGCTCTTTCACCAGGTTGTGCATCTGCTTATCAGAAAACTGTAAATGGCACGTGAAAGAACAAGTCATGGATGTGTACTAAGTAGGATTTCTTGATCTCTATTTATCTTTACGTTTTCAGACCAGGGAAGTCTGCAAAAAGATTTTAGAACATAAGGAACAGTTTTAAATAACATACTTAGAAATTAGAAATAAACTTGTGCTTTCTTACAAAGGATATCAGCTGTTTGACTGCCACCAACAAATGCTACAAAAAAGAAAAACTCCTAAACTGGGGCATCAGTTA